TGGGGTAGTGAGGTTGATATTGTTTACCCGAGACAAGGCATCAGCGACACAATTATCAGTACCAGAGACATATCTGATATCTGTACTAAACTGGGCGAGGAAATCCAGATGTCGAAGTTGACGAGGAGAACATGAGTCAGAGTTTTTTCTAAAAGCGAAGGTTAATGGTCGATGATCAGTGAAAATGATGAAGTCGTGTCCTTCCAAGTTGTGCCGGAAGTATTTAACAGCACAGTACACAGCAAGTAGCTCTCTGTCATATGTGCTGTATTTCCTTTCTGCAGTAGTAAGTTTTCTGGAGAAGAATGCCATTGGGGAAAGTCCTTTAGTGGTGTGGGCTTGAAGCACTGCTCCTATGGCCGTGTCAGATGCATCTACCATTATAGAGAGCTGATCACTAGGTGAGTGATAAGAAAGTGTGGCTGCATTTGCCAGATCGTGTTTGCATTGCACGAATGCTGCAGATGCAGATTCAGTCCAAGGGACAGCTCGTTGATCGTTTTTTTTTTTTTTTTTTGCTATTCTTCAGAAACTCATGTAGGCAGACTTGTGTTTTTGCGGCATTTGGCAGAAAGCGTCGGTAGAAATTTAACATTGCTAGAAAACGCTTCAGTTCAGAGATGGTTTTGGGCTGGGGTAGGTCGTTAATTGCTTTGACTCTTTCCGGTAAAGGTTTGACTCCATTCTGGGTGATAAGACATCCAAGAAAGGAAACTGAGGGTTGACCAAGTACGCATTTGGATGGATTTAGTTTTAATCCATGATCTTTAAGGCGAGTGAAAATCTGACGCAGATGTTTAAAATGTTCTTCCGCATCTGTAGATGCAACCAGGATATCATCAAAATATGGGATGCAGAAATCGAGACCAGACAGTACTTGGTGTATGAAACGCTTGAAATGTTTGGCCAGCATTGCGAAGGCCAAATGGCATATATAAGTACTCAAAGAGACCAAATGGTGTAGTCACTGCGGTCTTGGGCACATCTTCAGCATGCACTGGGATCTGATGATTCATGCTCTGGCAAGATCGAGGGTAGAAAATATATGTTTGTTCCATGAAAAAGATGGGTACAGTCTTGGATATGTGGGACTGGATATCTGTCAGGGGACTGTGACGGCATTAAGTCGACGATAATCTCCAAACAAGGCCGCCAGTCACCATTAGACTTTTTAACCATGTGAAGTGGACTGGCCCATAGGGGCTTTTAGATGGGCGAATGAATGATTCCCTGTGCTAGCATGAATTCAAATTCTTTGCGAGCAGCTTTAGCATCTCTGGAGAAAAGACGACAAGGCTTGGAAATACAGGTGGGCCATGTGTTTCAATGTGATGATACAGTTCCTGTAGCTGATGAGTATGCTGCCCTGATTTGGATGGGTTTAAAAATGTCAGGGAATTCTGCTAATAACCGATGAAACCGTGTGCTGCCCGAATAGAACACTTATGTTGGTAGGTACGTTTGATATGTGAGAAGCTTGGCCCTGTGATGTCAGCTGACTTGTAGCATCAATTTAAGCAATTATTCTTGACATCCACTAGAAGGTGGAAAATGTGTCAAGAAGTCGACACCAATAATTGCTTGAGTTACATCCGCAATAATAAAAGGCCAGTTGAAAGTGAAAGTCCGGCGCAAGTTTAAATCAAGTGTCAATAGTTTGGTGCCGTAGGTTGCAATTTGGGTACCATTTGCTGTATGCATGTACAAGTTTATTAAGTTGGTGAAGCATTTGTTTTAGTTCTCGGGAGCACTGATTTGCGCTGATATGTCAGCTCCAGTATCTACCTAGAAAACATAACTGAGTTGAACGATCAGCATCTGTACTATTCTGTCGAATGTGGCGGACATTCTGTTGGCCAGCAGAAGACCGCCCATTTAGTTTCCCAGCTTGTTTCAAAAGTGCATGGAGGGGCACACTTGCGAGCTGCCTGAGCACCAAAGATTCATATGATAAAAAACATATGCCACTGTGCAGGTTCTTTGTACTTGCGTTCGAAGTATTGTGACGGATGGACTCCTGACTTCGGGCACGAAATTTATTACGTGGGCCCTGATTTGATCGATTGTATCTCCGTGAAGCATGAAGACTTGTTGAGAGTTCAGATACTTTTTTGGTCAATTCAGGCCACTTTTTGTTCGAGGGATGAACTGGAAGGTGCAGCATTAGCAGCACCTGACATAAGCTGGAGTAACAAGTTCATTAATTTTGTCAGCCATTGCTGCTAAACGGGTTAGATCTTCATTGGAAGCAGCAAGAATTATTTGTATGTTATTAGGGTTATTATTTGTACGAAAGCCATAGTGACTTCAACAAGTCGTCACTAAAATGGTTTCCTGCCAGATCACGCATTCGTGACAGCAAGTATGAAGGGTCGCTGATCTCCAAGTTCAAGTCCTTGTAGCAGTAAAGTACGTATTTTTGAAGATTCACTTTCTGAATAGATTTCAATGAGCCGCTGTTTCAGTTTGGAGTATTTATCACAAGTCAGGTGGTTTGAAGAATTAAGTCATGCACTGAATTCAGAATATCAGGACTCAATTGCTGCAACTACGTGGTTGAATTTTGTAGAATCCTCACTAATGCGAGCGATAGAAAATTGTGCTTCGATCTGAGCGAACCACAATGAAGGATTATTTTTCCAGACGTGTGTGATTTGTGGCTCTGGTGGAATATCGTTCGGGCATACTTGATAGAATAATTTTCACTTTAAATAATAAACACTTATCCTGCACAAATATTGTTAGCATGAGGATACACTATTGAATATTTTACCATGATAACAATAAATATTTTAACCATGCAGAAAAAATTTACGTAACGATACACACAAATAATACAGGGTCAGCAATTACACACACAAATAATATTTTACCGAAATGCATTTGAAAAGGAAAATCCTTATATGAGAGAAAAAAAAATGATGCGTTCATTTTGTATTGCGCACACACACAAAAATCACCACTTCACACTGCTAAGGCACTTTACCGAAGGAAAAAGGAAATCACTCCTGTAGCAAACATGGGAAAGAAATTCACTACTTTCGAAACACTGAGGGAAAGAATTTTTGCCGTAGCACGTTGCAGAAAATATCACTGATGTAGAACATTTAGCGAAAATCACTGTTGTAGCACATTTGTCACAAAAGTTGAATGATCGAAGAATGATTGCCACGACTGGCGAAGTCCACGGAATGGAACAGAATCACATTGATGACGTTTTGCTGAAAGCTCCTTGCGATGATATGCACGACTTTGAAAAAAAAACACAAGCAAATATATACACAATACTTTGTAGAAATAATTGAAGGGGTACGTTGTAGCATACGTTTTAATGTCCATATTCGTTGTTATTTTGAGTCAGTTCTTCAGAATGCCTTGCAGATGCATGTGGCTTACAGGGTCGTTGAAAATCCATTCTCAGTTGGCAGCGTGCTCAGTCAAAAAGGTCACCACTTTTGGTGGTCGTGTGTGCTTAATTGCATGAATATAATTTTAAGGAAATAAGAGTAGACAATCTTCAACTGTAACAAAAGAATATATTAAATACTAAATTACAATTTAAATTACATTGCAGAGATCAACACAGAGCTCGGAACACAGTTCATGCTACCTTCGCGTACAGTTGTCCGACGAGAAGTCTGAGTGAGTAAAGATGTCGCTTTGCTGCTCCGATTAAGAACTGGATTTTACACGTGGCGCCATCTCATGAATAGAAGTTGAAGTATCTGTCGGAACGCCACAATCAGTTTAATAAATCTAGTAAGATGACATGTAGACATGACAACATTGGGGCTTCTCTTATGGAGTTTCATATTTTTTGGCAATATCAGTTGAACAAAAACCGCTAAGACTTAAATCACTATGTAACAGCTTTACAAATAAAGTACCACAGAGTGGTGTAAAAGACCCTTTTATTTAAATAGAAGTTTAACAGAAGGCACTGTTTACACTTACAGAGCAGCCAGCATTTATGGCTTAAATCAAAAGTAATGAATTTTAAATTATGACAAAGCTAACTTAAGTTAGCCGAAAAGCTACACAGACACAAAACGCATAAGTTGGCTCTGACCTAAGTTAGCATGACAAGCCTATTGGTGAGAATAATGCAACGTCGTAGAATACTGCTCTCAAGAGAATCAATTAGCAAATGTGGCCTTCAGGTGGAACTCACTCGAATTCAACCTTCTAAAACTTTTCTTTAAATACTGTCTCTTTTCTCCCTTATTTGAGTAAACGCAAATTAGAAATTTGCATTCTAGTAGGAAAATGGAAAGCGAAAAAGACAGTGAAACAAATTAACATAACTGATTAATAAAACTAAATTAATCTTTATACACTTATTCAGTCATATAGAAAAATACTAGCCCTCCTGAGGGTCAGTGCCAGAAGAAGTGCAGCTGCATTGGTTGTCAGAATTTAGGAACGTCGAAAATTTTAGAATTTAGAGTAATGCCAAGCAGCAAAAATTATTGATGGCAGAATTTAGGACTTGCAGAGCTTGGATCAGGCAGCAGAATATGTAATGCTGGCCTGACGTCCACTCAACACTCATGGGCCGAAAGTGTGATCGTGGCCATTATCAGTATGTCAATCAATGTTGTTATCAAGCACGGTGTGAATGTGATAGTCCAGAGGAAAGTCACATTTATGGCAAACCTGCTTCCTTTTGTTATTATATTCTTTATTCCTATACTTTGTAAAGGAGAGAATTTTCTTTTCTGATGGTCCGAAGGTCGTATTTTTATTTTGTTTATTTATTTATTGTTGTTGCATTTTGTTAAAAATATTTTTAAATTTATTTAAACAAAATTTATCTGGCTCTGAGCTATTTTTAGATTGAGCTATCTGTCTACATGCAGTTTGAGTCTGAAATCACTGTAATGTAGAACAGAATAAAGTAGGATAAAATATAATTAAATTCTATGCTGGCAGAAGGCTAGCTTTTGCCCAGCTAGGTAAGGCATTATAATTTTAAAAATGTTGTTTTTATCCATTCACAGGATCAGCAGATGTTCAGGATAATGTAAACACTGATAAAGATGTAGATTCTTCTAAAGTTGTTGAAGAATGTATTTTGGAGGAAAAAGCTGATATGAAAAAGACAGAAGAGAGCTGTGAAATAAGCACAAAGAAAGAAGGTTCTAGTAAAAAAAATGGTTCAGAAGAAAGTGTTGCACAGTCAGAAAGCATTAATAAAACTGCAGATGAAAATAAGGAAGCAAATGATGAATCAAAAGTTCTTGAAAATGAATCTAAAGAAGAATTAGAAACTACCCAAAGTAAAGAATTGGAAATGTTCAAAAATGAACAACAGAATAAGAAGTCTGTGGAAGAAGTTGATATCAAAACGGAAAATGCCCTAACTACAGAAAAAATTCATGAAACCTCAGGCCTAGAAAATGATTCTCCTAGTGTTGTGAAGAAACCTGAAGAAACAGCTTTAAAAAAGACTGATTTAGAAAGTAAGGATTTTGAAGATGTTGAAAATAAGCATTTGAGTATAAGTTCTGAAGACAGGATTGAGGTTAAAGACAACACACAAGAAATAATAAGTCCTAGTAAGACAGTAATGGATGAAACAGTTTCTAATGTTAGCAAAGTGGCTACAAATAGTAATTCTGAAAAAAGTCATGACAGTTTTGCATCTGGTTCTGTAAAAGAATCTGAATTTCTTAATGAAGCCAAAAATGATAAATCACTAGAGCCTTCGGAAACAGGTGTTAAAGATGAAAATGTAGTTTTAGATTCTGTTGAATGTAATGGTGAAGATAAACAGATTAATAAAGAATCTGACAATGCTGTGGATAGCACTGTGGTTCCTGGTGTAGATAGCACTGTAGTTTCTGGCATAGATAGTACTGTCATTTCTGGCATAAGTGCTTGTGATTCATCTGAAAATGTAATCGACAAGACTGATATAGCTAAAGAAAAGAAAAAAAGTGAACTTAAAGATCCTGAAAATGCATCTCAAAATGCAATAACTACAAAAATTAAATCAAATAAAACTGTGGGTAAAGCATCAAACAGCTCTGAAGAAGTTACTGAAACGTCTCCCAGTGCTGAAGGATGTGTGGAAACTTCTGTTTCCACAGCCATTGTTAATGGAAGTAAGGCTGCAAAAAGAAAACTTGAAAATAATGCTCTCAGTGATGAAGAGAACAGAAAAGAAAAGAAAATGAAAAATGCTGCTGCTGATGTTAAAATGATAGAAGAGCCGACAGAAGTTCCTGTAAAAACCCTTGCATCTTCAAATGATAAAGATCAAGAGCAAGAAAGCACTGTTCAGCCTCAGAATGTTGCTAAACAAACAGATGAGAAGTGTGAAAATAATTCTTCAAGGGGTCAAACATCTAAAAATGTCCAGAAGCGGAAGAAAAGGGCAGCAGATTCAAAAGAACCTCAGCATGTAGATAATGATCCAAAGAAGGCTAAGCGTGCTTCTCAAGTTGAAGAAACTACTGTAAATGGAGAACTTGCTGCTGCACCTGGTGGTAGCAAAGACGTAGAAATGACGTCCGAAAAGAATGCTGATGAAGCAGGTGTAAGTATAATTAATTATCTAAAAATGTTTATGTAATTTGTGAATCAGCCGGTTTGTCAAAATAAGACCAGCCTAAACAAAACAAATTTTATAGCCATAATTCTGTAATTACTGTAAGAATAGCTTGGAAACAATATCCCCAGGCCTTATAAAATTTCCCCTCAGCTCTTGTACACTACACTTCAATGAGATGAAACTCTAAAGGGTATATTTTTTCAAAAGTGTCTTGATATCTGTGATTAGGAACTTCAACAAAACAGTATTATCCTATTTTGCAGCACATGCTCCCAAATATTTATTGTTTATGTAAGATATGGGAGTCTCCTAATCTTTATGGCCTCTATTATTTTAAATGGTGCTGAGAGCCCTGTTGTTAATGTATTGTACCAAAACAGCAAACTACTCAGAATTCTTGTAATGTTAGGTGAACTACAGAGGGTGTTTACACATTTTTGTAACAATTTTGATTTTCTCCATGAATTTAAATATTAATTTTAAAATACAAACGTGACAAGCATCAAATTGGAATAATGTTTACTTAGTAAGTATCTGCAGCATTAACAATATTCTTTTCTCTAAAATGTTGCTGAAAAATAAACATTGGATCGAAGAATATATTTTTGTGTTCTCCAAAGAGAAATACTCTAATTTATTTATTAAAGAAAGATGTGAAAAGTATGGTTTTAATATTTCTACACATGAAATAAATGGCATAATTAATATGACAGTAAAGAAATATCAAAGTTTACATCTGACTGGAAAAAAGGCAAAAAATGCATACCCCACAAAGGTACAATTGCTCTTATTAAATACAAAGTTGCATCTGATGTTTTAAAGGAAAATCCAGGCCGTCAAAGAGCTATTGCAAAATCTTTAAATATCTCTGTAGGAAGTGATAACAAAATTATAAAATCTGATTTAAAGCTAATCATAACAAAATCAAAACAAAAAAATCTGATGTGTACACCACATGACTTCCTTGTTTTTTTTCTATATTATATCCTTGTATTGGAATATTAAATTATACGCATTTTACCTTGCATATCATTTAAACTTATTGGATTGAATTAAACCTACTTCGCCGACAGCACATAAACCACAATAGAATAAATGCATTCGGGTTTTCATCCGCAAAGAACCCGTTGGCGCCGTTGCGTTTTTACTCGCCAAGCTCGCGGTTCATCGACGATGAGCCGAGCCATAAACGTGATTTTTAGTGCATGTAAATTCAAGTTAGTAGACAAAACAATATATTAATCATATGGTAGTAAAAATTCACAGATAATAAGCATGTAGATGTAAAACTAACCAGTTAAGCGTGATATACGAAAATAAATTTGTATTAAATTCAAGTTAGCACAGAAAACAATATATTAAGCATAAGACAATATATAAGCATTTATAATGGAAATAAAAAATATAAATTAGTATTAATGTACTGAAATTACCCGGTTAAATGTGATAAACGAAAAAAATTTGTCATAAATTCCAGTTAACACAGAAAACAATATATTCCTTACACCAGCAGTGGTTTGCTAATTTTGATGACCATGGTGATGCATCAAACTGTATTGTCATCTTAGATAATAAAGCATATTTTTTATTTCAATTTAATAATCTATTTACGTCACACTGTCATCCTCTGAAAGGTTATTGTTCGAAAAACATTAACAATATATTATCTTGTTAAAATTTTACGCCATAAAAATTGATTTATTCTCATAATTTTAAATGACAATAACCAATAATAAAAATAAAAGCATTACTTAATTATTTAAAATGCACATGCATATTTTTGCGGCCTACGAAAACAAATTATTTTAGGGGTTGGAAACCTCATAGTTCTGCATGCTTACAGCTGTTAATAATTAAGAACACAACGTGAACAGCCGTGTTACAAATTAGCATTTTCCCCTCCCACTGTATTTTCTTCCTTTCATCCCGAACCGAGAACCGGCATCTATCTACGAAAAATATTTCTATTTATCCGTTGTTAAAAAATTCAGAAAAAATAATAAATAAGAGAAGAATAATATAAATCTGCAAATGCGAACAACGACAGTGATAATTCAACAAAGTGAACGCAAGAGGAATGTTTGCAAACTTCGAACAAGGGAATAGGATAAATCGGCTGGGTTACCAGGTTTGAACTATTATTGCCAAAGTTGGCGATGTTTACATTTACCGGGTTCTCTGCGGAAGTGCTTCCATGTATTCTTTAAAATTCATTTTGTTTACCATAGCGACACTCTGGCGCTAGGTTTACTTAACAGTGTTATATTTCATTCATATTATAACTCAGAATGCACAAAATTTATATCATTTAAAGAATTATCTAATCGTTGCCACATGTTCTATTCAAATACTATAATAAAGCTAGAACTATTTATAAAGAAATTAAGCAAACAAAACAAAAAAGAAACAGTTTTTCACAGACGATTGAGTATTTCTCATTCAATTAATTCAGTTTTCACTTAGCGACAAGGCAAAAATACATAAATCTCAAATTATCTGTATTAAAAATTACAAAGTAAATCTTAAACGCTTATTTCCTCGAAAAAATTCCAGAAAGGATTAAGCATGATTTAAATAATAAATGAAGGCGTTATCTTTGTTGTTGTGAAGCTAAGTTTCTCTAGATTGGCAACAAATCCGCTACTCAGCTGTTTCAAATGTAAACAAGAGCAATGGCCGCCATCAAATTAGGCTTAGCGGCACTTAAACATTTTTTAAATTGTTGATAATTTTACAACTATAGCATGCAGGTTAAATAAAGGCGTAAAAACCTTAATCGGAAGATAGGAACAACATAATTCAATCATTTTTACAGCAAAAAAAATGTACAATTTATAAACATATAAGAGTAAAGAAACTGAGATCGCTGAGCCGGGTAACAGATTGGATATATTTATAAATATATTTATATATGTTTGGCATGGCCGATTGAAAGCAAAATAGAAGGTGCACATCTACATGTTATAGTAGTCTCATATACAAAATTTCAACGTTCTAAGGCTACTCGTTTTTGACTTACGCGAGATACGCACATACGTACGTACATAAGTTCGTACAGTTGCCACGAAAAATTCTCTTCAGAATTAATTTTAAAGCAGTTTTTAGTTTTTTTTGGGGGGGGAAAGTCTTTTATTTTGTCCTTACGTACAGATATTACGCAAAAACATCGTTAAATTGCATTCGAAAGCGGTCAAAGTGGATATTTTCGTTGAAATATGCTGCCTGAACCTTTTCGCAATTACAATACTTCCTCTTTACTTCGTATAAGGAAGTAAAAATCATGATGTTCATCGCCTAATGCCAAAACATGTTTCTCAGCATAAGGCTATGTACAGATTGCTGTATGAAAATTATTTGGCAGGTGGAAAATGAAAATATATAGTTGTAATTAATGAGACTTGGATATACTTATCTGATTGCAATAGAAGAAGATTGATTTACTACTGAAAAAAAGAAAAAAAGACTTAATATGTTGGTTCAGAGAAAATAAGGAAAGTTCTTATAAAGGTTTTATGTTTATTACTGGATTCTCTTATAGAGGAAAACTTAAAATAAGGAAAGTTAAGAAAAATGTCAAAATTAATTTGGATTAATATAAGAAATATGTTTCAACACCTATTTTTAAAGAAGAAATTCTATCTCTTTACCCAAACAATGTTCACGATCAAAATCGCAATAACAACCTTGTATTTAGCGTACATATATTACTGTAATCTACTGCTCTATTTTTTGAAAAAATGAGAAATGAAACCGTAATTGAAGCTATATTCTTTAAATACATACCATCCAAGTTCTTTGACTTGTCTCCTGTAGATTACTGTGCATCTAGACTTTTAAAACAAGCTCTTTATAAGCGGCATCCCGAAACATTGGATAAATCAACCTTGATGGAAAATTCCTTTTATCTTGGAAATCAAGACGTAATATGATAGTTCAACAAAAGGGCTATCAGATTGAACATATTCAAAAATAAAATTCTAAGGTTTGTTTATATATAAATCATTACAAAAATGTGTGAACACCTTCGGTATAAATAACTGGGATTAGAACTTCCACCCTTTGAGAACAGTCTGCCTCTGGCCAAATTTTATAATTCTTTTACAGCTCTTGTGCACCGCACTACGATGGGAAAGGACTCCAAAGATTATGCTTCATAAAGTTGTTTTTTCATCTTTGTTAGGAACTTAGACATGCCCCTGAATATAATAAATATATTATGACAGTCAGATTTGGTGTTTCCTTATGGCCCTATTATTTAAATGATGAAGAGGCTCTTGTTAATGAATTGCACCAAAATAGCAAATCAACTCGCAGTTCTTATGCCAGAGTGATTAAGATTGCTAGGCTCTAAGGAAAGTTCCCAAAGAGCTCTGAGTAAGGTTGTCACTGTTCAATAGCAAGAAGGCTGTAATGGGAATTGTAATGTAAGGAAGTAATTCAAATGCTTCCAGAATTGTTTCTCAAAAAGACTGTCATAGATTTTTGACTTTAATAGGCTATGCATAGTTATCTAGAGTCGATAATGCTAAATGGTATGATTTGAGTATCCAATGGAGTGTTTTCCTTCGATCATTACATTATTACAGATACTGTCATCAATTTTGTTAAAATTATTGGCTCCTCCAGTTAGCATGTTTCATCAGATATTTTGAACAAACTTCCCTCATAAAGTTATTTCAGTCAGCAGTTGTAGCTTTATAAATATTTAATTATTTAAAACAGGCAAATTGACATAGCATCCCAATCGATTTCGAGAGCAATCATCAGAAGCAAAAAGTTCTACAAAAGCGAGTAAGCGAATATCGATCATATTTATACCCTACAGGTGACCAGTAGAAGAACCGATAGCACCATCTAGTTAAATAAGTATAGGCAGAAATAGTAATGAAAAATGAAAGGATTAAGAATTTTAAAGACTGGTCATTAGGCAAGACTGGATTGGAATTAAAGTCATTTACTAAACAGGATAAATTTTTGTGAATGTT